TCTCAGAGGCTGCCACAAAGAAGAGGGAGTCAAGCTATTCTCCAAGACACCTGAAGGCAGGACGAGAAGCAATGGATGGAAACTGATCAAGGAGAGAAGCAACTTAGAACTAAGGAGAAACTTCCTGACAGTTAGAACAATTAACCAATGGAACAACCTGCCTCCAGAAGTGGTGAATGCTCCAACACTGGAAGTTTTTAAGAAGAGACTGGACAGCCATTTGTCTGAAATGGTGTAGGGTTGCTGCCTGAGCAGGGGGTTGGACTCAATGACCTCCAAGGTCCCTTCCAACTTTATTATTATTATTATTATTATTATTATTATTATTATTATTATTATTATTATTATTATTATTATTATTATTATTATTATTATTATTATTATTATTATTAAGCTATAATATTCTGCTGACTTGACGGGCAAAGGCATTTCCCACTTCTCAACAGCATACAAGGGAACTACGTCCACTGAACTAACCATCACATTCTGAACCTGGAAATTAAACTTAACTTTTTGTGCATGAGTAATTATTACATAAGAATTAGAATTTGGAAAAAAAAAGAAATAGAGAAAAATTGCCAATCTGAAACAGGACAAAAATGTTCTTTAAAAAATGTGAAAAGAGGAAGACAATGATTTTAAAAAAATTATGATGCTTTCTAGCATTCATTAGATCTCACCTTTAATACTATGTTTGCAGACTGGCCTAGGCCAGATCCTCATTTGATGTCTGCATATCCACAACATTGTTGGCAAGTAGCTGAGTTGGGACTGAAGACTCTTGTTGTATGCTAGAGGTTGAGGCTCAAGGAATCAACATGCCTCTTATCTGTAGTCATTACAAAATGGTCAGGTAGTAACCTTAGCGCCGTTAACTCTCCCCTTAATCTTGGGAGAGTTATCAAATTCCTCTGAGAGATGTCTGAGTTTATGTCAAAGTATTATATTTTTAATGTAAAGCATCTCCCTCATGAACCAGTCATCACCTTGGCCGCTGAGCTGTCAGATACAGAAGATTACCAGCAGTGGAAGTTTAAGTGGTGAAGAAAAGTCCCCCACAGTCTGGCCAATATCTGTTATTGCCAAAGGCTTCTTCAGTCCAAGGACATATTCATTCTGCTTCTATGATAGTGTGGCCGTGGAAGTTCAGAACATGGTAGAGAAGGGGACGTCTGCCATTTGGATAGCATGGACAGCATGAAATATGCATTGTTCTTCAGAATCATGAACTTCTTCAGCTGGCCTGGGATAAGTTAGATAATAGTATGCACAGAGGTGCTTCCCTCACTGACTTGTAGGATTACTCTGTCAGTATTGACAAGATTAAGTTTGTCACCTGTGGGGAGGGAGTCTCCAGTCACTCTCCTTCCTGTGAGGAAAGAACATTCCATAGAACAGTCTTACAATATCACTATTTTAAATAGTGGATACAGTAGAAGTCTGGAACAGTAGAATGAGCCTGCAGGGGTTTACCCCATCTGAGATATTCCAGGATTCTTTCATGGATTTTATCTTTTATTTATTCTTAAAGAGATCATTACAATAGAAGGCACACAGACATTCCACCCAATTGCTCATTAGGAGCAAAAAGCTGTATAATAAGCGATAAACATGGGACATATTTTGTGTGCTTTCAACATTATATTTCCCTCATAGTTTTTTATTGATTGCCAATAACATTTAATCACACATTGGGTTGCTTGAAGTTAAATGTTGGTTGTTGATCTCTTCCACCCATTAATTTATCTCATCAAGATATTTTCAACACGAGCTTTTCAGAGTTCAGAAGACAAATCAAGCAGAAACTGGAAGTTGCATGTAAATTTGTAATTGGAGGCTACTACTTGCAAAACGTGCTATGTTCAGAAATAATTTTTATATCTGTTAAATTTAAGATTATTCAAGATACTAAAGAACGTGGAGGACTTAAAGCTCCAAATTTGACACTTTACTATGACTCTTGTGCATTGACTTGGATGACTGATTGGATTAATTTATCTAATAAGAGAATTCTGAATTTGGAAGGATGGGACTTGTACTTTGGGTGGCATGCTTATCTTTTTATGCAAAAAAAGATTGATAAAACTTTTAGAAATCATATAATAATGGCTGCATTGTTGAGAGTTTCGCAAAAATATTTTTTCAAGTTTGAGGTTAAACTTCCAATTTGGGTGATACCGTCACATATTTTTTTGACTATACCTAGATTTGTGGTTATGGAGGCACCATCTTATAAAGATTTGTTATATTTTAGTGGTAGTGGTGAATGGTGCCTCAAATCAATAGATGCTTTGAGACGGAAGTATCCAGACTTTTCTTGGCTTGTG